TCAAAGAACTTCAACCTCTTCATAAGAAATTCACAGACATTAAAGCACAGTTGGAGCTAAAAACGTATGACTTGTCCTTATTTCTGAAGAGGGCTGAACAGAATGCGCGTCACAAGGTCTGTATCTCCATCTCCTATCTATATCTTTCGAGCTACATAGTCTTGTGTTGTCTTTTCTTGGTACCTGAGGCACATATTTATAGTTTTGATCCCGTCTATCTTTTGTATGTATAGCTTGGTGAAGCAGAATATATCAATTCGCCCTAATGTAGACGCTCCCAGGCACAGAAGTCAAGGAGCCGCCGGCGAAAACGTTAACGGCGATCACGCTCCTCCTAGATCGTAGCCTTTGCTCATTCTATTCTCGGATTCATCAAAGGATCCGAGAAACATTTACTCACCTTCTCAAATTTCGGGCTTTTTGCCTTGGTAATATGTTTCAGTCTTCTTCGATCACCATGGCTTCCGACGAGACCGTGATATGCTCTGCTCTAACCTCCCGAAGCCCTCCGCAGCATATGCTCCTTCATCGTCACATCTGAAGCTCTCCGTCGGAGCTGCAGCTGATCCGAAGAACGAACTCCGCAATCCGCCGGCAACCTTGGTCGTTGGCGAGTTTCTCCGGGCACGATAGGCCTTGGTACTTTACTCAGTCTCCGGCGTCCTCCATGGAGAGGGATGAGGCTTATCGTCCGTATTTACGGTGGTTATCTTTGGGGTCGGCGAAATCTCTTCAAAGCCTAAGGCCACATCGGGAGCCGCCAGGAACGCCGGAGCAGCAGGAGTCTCCGGATCCGCCGGAGCCTCCAGGTCTGCCGGATCCACCGCCGCGAAACGAGCGAATCTCTGGTGCTTATCATCGGATCCTCCCACCTCAACCGGCGGCAGTTGGAATACGGCTTCCTTCGTCGAGATGTTACTGCCACAACGCGAGGTCACCGTCCTCCTTCCGTTTGATTCTCTCCGGTGTAGATGACCTTCGGTGGGGTCCGATCTGTGTCCCTGTACCGGAAAGCGAAATCGATAAAGGCGACGGTGAGATCTCGGAAGCTGAATTCGAAGTTGATGGGCTGTTTGAAAGAGATGGGCCTTCGAACATTCAAACTGATAGGTGGGCCTGGCCCAAATGTTTTAAGGTACCATGTTCTGTTTTTTTAAATGTTCTCTGGGGAAAAAGCTCATCAACTCCACAACATATAACTCCGTCAAAGTTAAGGCTACAGAAAGCTTCTACAACAAGAGATGCTCGTTATCTGATCTCTACCGCTATGGTCACTAATCTTAATGGGAGATTGAAGTTGGAAGTTTCTGAATCAATTCTGGGCAGGCCATTGCCCAGCTCGTTAAACCAAATGGTCAATGTTTCAAGGCTTTCCATATCGAGCGTGGAGTTGCCATCTTGCCTTCGATGGGTTTCTATTCAACAATCGTCGTGCATCAAGTCGCCGCGTGGGTCTATTCCGAGCTTATCCGTCTCCGTGATAGGTCAAAGCTCGATCTTCGGCATGTGTCCTTCCGGAATGTTTCCTGAGTTTATTCGTATATTAGGCATTGGGCTCATACCTGATTGGGCGAGTCTCCGGTGTATCACAATCGTTCATCCACCCCTCCGGTCCAYCTATCGGATAAGGCTGTCTCRTCCTCCTGAATCCACCGTAGCGTCTTTGTTTTTCTACGCATTAGGTAAGGAGGTTTATTGGGCTGTGCAACATAGGACAAGGGGGCTTCTTAGCCCAAACCCATTTCCCAACTCAAATCCATCTCCCAGAACCAAACTCTTAGAGAGTTYTCTCGGTTGGTTTATAGTGAGAACTATGATCAATGTATGGTTGGAGATGTCGAATGTAGCAACTTATTCCCTATGGGAAGGACCGTTGCAAACTTCCTTCTCTTTGAGAGGAGGTGAATTATTCCCGAGTTCCATGCCGGGAAAACTTATGAATGTCTTTGCCAAATTGTTTTCTTGCTTAGGAGTCTCGAGGCCCGAAGAAACAAACGGGAGTGTTTTGGCGCTTCTCGGAGGCAAAGCTTCACTTTCAACGTCACTACAAGTGACTAACTCCAGCCTAGGCGGCCATTTCGGCTTTGCKGGTAAGATCATTTCGACGCATTCGGATTGTGATTCGAGTTTGCAGTCAAGTGATCACTCTTTATCTGTTTTAATCTGTATTGCTTTTAAATTGTATTATCAAAATTTCAGAGGATGGTTAATTCCCTCTGCTTGTATTGTTGAATAGTAGAAATGGAAAAGAATGTTGAACAAAAAAAAAAGCTTGGTGAAGCAGTGAAAAAACTTGAAGTAGAGCTTGAAGATGCAAAATCTCAAATCAAAGAGAAGGAACTTGGTTACAAAAAGTGTGTCGATGCTGTCAAAGACCATGACAAAAACAGAGAGAGAAGACTCAAGGACTTGGAAAAAAATATTAAGACTATCAAAGCTCAGATGCAGGCAGCTTCTAAAGATTTAAAGGTATTCTAAATCTTTCAGTCAAATACTTCTATGCCATGTTTGCAACTAAAAAATATGAGATTCAATTCGTTAAGGTTTTAGAAAAATAAATATATGATAATAAAATAAACTTAATTAAATAAAGAATAGAAGAAGCTAATTATTTAGAAATATGT